TTAATTATTATTGTTATCATTAACTTTTATAACAACAACATTTAATGATAATATTATAATTGATAGATGAATTGCCGATTAGATTAGCACGCAATGTTAAAGAATTAGATGATTTGCCTCATAATTTTAATGAAATGTCATCTATAGTTAAAGTAAAGAATTGGTATGCTCAATCTTTTATGGTATGATTACATTGAAAACAAACAAATATCTTTTACAATTTGGATATTAAAAAAAAATTTTCACGTATTTTTTTCATAATTCAATGAATTTAATAATTAGTAATAAATAATATTATTTTAGGAATTAATAAATTTTCCTAAATTAGAATTATCACAAAATATTAAAGATCTAATCGTACCTAGTTCTGGTGAACAAACTAAATCACCTGAAAATGCACTTAATCAATCATTAAAACCATCATCAAATACTACAGCATCTATAAATTCAGCCATACCACTTGATCACAGGTATTAAGATGTTTACTATTACTATTACTATTACTGAGATTATGAATATAATTTAGTATATTCATTCATTCACATACAAACATATACACAAATATATGCATAGATATTATTCAAAGATTGATGAGATTGATTGGCCACCAGAAGTTCGATATTATAATGAAAAATTTACAAAGTTAATTGAAGGAATTAAAAGACGACATGATCCTGTTGTGACTACTGTGGTATGGTGTTCGTTCATTATTGGATTTGATTTTTTTGAAAATTTTTTTTTCTAACCATAAATATTCACAAGTTTTATCAATTTTAGGGTAAGGAATTTATTTTTTAATTTTTATTTATACGAAGAAAAGAAGGCATACTCCTTTATTTAATTAAATAAAAACATATATGTATGGGTGGATGGTATGTTTATTTTTATATTATATAAAAATTACGATAATAACAATTTTGTCATTGTCATCACCATCACCATTATATCATTTATTAGCTCAAGGAATACTTGAGTACAAAGCAAAAAGAAATAAAAATATTATAGATGTGGATATTCAATCATTTTTGGATCGTTTCTATATGTCACGTATTGGAATCCGAGTATTAATTGGTAAAATATATAAATATTATCATATTATTGTATCATTATTATTATCGAATAATTAATTATTAAAATTTTTTAAAGGTCAACATGTAACATTGAATAGACTACCATCAAGATCAGATTATGTAGGAATAATTTGCACCAAAACAAATATAGGACAAGCTGTTCAGGAAGCAGCTGATAATGCAAAATTTATTTGTGAAGAATATTATGGATTGTTTCGTGCACCTGAAATTCAATTATACTGTCCTGATGATTTGAACTTCACATATATACCGACTCATCTGAGTCATATGCTTTTTGAATTATTGAAAAACAGTTTACGTGCTGTGGTTGAGTTGTCAGGTGGTGATGATGTTGATGAATATCCACCAATCAAAATTATTGTTTCTAAAGGACAAGAGGTATGATATATAAGTAGATTATTATTATTAATTATTATTATCATAACTCTATAACTGCTTATTACTATTATTATTTTAGGATATAACCATAAAGATATCAGATGAAGGAGGTGGTATCCCAAGAAGTAGCATTCCTTTAATTTGGACATATATGTATACAACAGCAGAACCAAAAAAATTAGATCCAGACTTTGATCAAAAAGAATTTAGGGCACCAATGGCTGGTTATGGTTATGGATTGCCAATTAGTAGACTGGTATAATATCTTTCCATATATGTGTGTATATATATATACACACACACACATACACTAAATTAACAATTTTATCCTTTTTTAAAAAAAATAGTATGCGAGATATTTTGGTGGTGATTTAAAATTGATTTCAATGGAAGGGTAAATGTTACATATGTGCCATCTATTTATGAATTCGTTTGTAACCAATATTTTTAAATTCTAATATATCTATATCTATTTTAAATAGGTTTGGAACAGATGTTTATCTTCATTTGAATCGTCTTTCAAATAGTGATGAGCCACTTTATTAAATTTTTATGAAATCAACACATATATATTTATATATAATTTTTGTATGTGCTTATGTGTATATATATTTCATGTGGATGGACATTTATTTTAATTAGGCGTAATGGGATTGATTTTTACAAAAAATTATATATAATTTGCAAAAATACATATTTATTTAATTTAACAATATAAATAAAAAAACCTTATTTAATAAATGACCGTATAACAAATTGTTATGCGGAGATTTTTTGGACAGTGTCTGGATATCTGATACTGGTAGTACAAACCGCAAGTTAACCTCCACATATTATTATAACCAATATTAAATTAAACCAAAGCAATTCAAAAACCCATTTATAAAGCATACGTTGAAAAATCAGCAGGAGAGGAGGGAAGAAAAAATGGTTTCCAAACAAAAAAGATAGCATCTAAAGAAATGTCTAATTTAAAATAAAATATGGGGCGGAAAATTAGCGCAACTCAATAAAATCAAGATCGAGAAAATTATTATAAATGGGCATACTGCAACAAAACCAGACAAAGCGAACATTAGTATTACCAAGGATTTCAAGGATCAAAATTTAGTCGTTTGTAATATCCCATTTTTGTTATCAAGTGATATATAGAACTATCCCTATATAAAAATAGTTAATATGAAATGGAACCCAAGAATTATATATAGTACTATCAGAATTTTAAAAAGAAAAAATTGCTCCTTATATTTTTAAATTAGCAGATACTAAATACTTGCAAACATGTTAGATAAAGAAAGGATTACCTATGAAATTTACCAAGAAGAAAGAAAAATCGTAAACATTAAGAAAAGAAAGCAGAATGAAGGTGTGCTATTACCCAGCAAAAAGCAGAAACTTTTGGAAGAAAAATAACTATAATTTTCTTTAATAGTTGGAATGAATTTCAATTTATACAGAATATTCTTTAAATTACTTTCTTATTTTCAATCAAGGTCATTTCTTAGTTTCTTTAATTTCGATTTGAGCAACTTTTTTGACGGACACATGAATACTAGAAAAGGATGGGCGATGGTACGGGTTGCTCCGCAAAATATGTAAAAAAGGACGGGCAATTAACAAGGGACGTATGTGGCGCAGCGACACGTCCTCGTCCTTTTCTATTATTCATAGTAATAGTACTATTGATCTGCGTGACATGTCCTGTGACTATTATATGCGGATTTTTTGACCGTTATTTTGAAAACATTGTAACAAATTTCATAATAATAATAAATTTTTCACGACTAACAATGATTTGAATCATAATATATATAAGTCATTTCGTGAAATAAATCTTTTCATTTTTTAGTAATATTGTTTATTTAATAACATTTTTTCATTTCCTTAAAAGGGAAGGATTGCCAAAGCAAAATGTTAATAGAAAATTGATAACTTTAAACCTTTACAAAAAATTTTTTTACCAAAATAAATGAAAAAAATCTCTGGCAGGCCCTTAATTGAGAATCTGCGAATGTAATCGCGGAATGGTTATTTCCGTAGCTTGCTTGGTTATAGAGCCTTTACGTTTTAAAGTTTAAATAAATTTCCATTGTTTATTTATATAATAAAATCAATAAAATTGATAACTTTGAGCCTTTACAAAAAAATTTTTTATTAATGTAAATGAAAAAAACTCTGACAGGCCCTTAATTGAGCATCTGCGAATACAATCACAGAAGGATTATTCCAAGAGCTTGCTTGGTTATCGAGCCTTTACGTTTTAAAGTTTAAATAAATCTTCGATTATTTACAAAAATAAAACTGGTTTGAATAAATTAAATTAAGATAGTAATAGAAAAACAATTATTTTTTTAAATTTTTAATCTCAGCCAATAATGTTTGCAACATCTGTTCATTATTACGATTTAATTTGTTTTCAATGTAATCATACCATAAAAGATTGAGCATACCAATTCTTTACTTTAACTATAGATGACATTTCATTAAAATTATGAGGCAAATCATCTAATTCTTTAACATTGCGTGCTAATCTAATCGGCAATTCATCTATCAATTATAATATTATCATTAAATGTTGTTGTTATAAAAGTTAATGATAACAATAATAATTAACTTTAATGTTTTTATTTTATGATTCACCTGCCAAAAATTGATTAGCTCTAAATAAAGTTCCTTGGGAGGGGGTTTGGCCTAGATTCATTGTTCATTTTTTTAATGTTTCAAATAATTTAATAATTTAATAAGTTTCTCCAAATATATTAGATCATTCTTTTTTTATTTAAACATGCATACCAAACATAACCATCTGTCTTAATGACACACCGGTTTGTGGAATTTTTGCATAAAGGTTGATTGTCTCCTGTAAGTTTGGTGTAATTCGGTATGCCATATTTATGGTTTATGATTATTATGATGGAGTTGTTCTCGTGAAACTTCTTTAGAAGTAAGCATCAAGTTTAAAAAAAATAAAATCTTAAATTTTTTTTTTTTGACAATTAGTTCTCAGAGGACCCCGGAAACTACATAGTAATAGTAATAGTAATAGTTATCAAATTTATCACATGACTTTCAAAATCAATAATCAATTTCTTTTTGTGAATTCTTCAATGGGATTTATATCTTTTAATTGAAGATTCAGCAGCTTGCAATAAAGTCAATCCTTTCTATAGTAATCCACGTGCTTTGAAGCTCTTAATGCATATCTTCTGACTTGCTTCATTGGTATGGAATTAAAGGCATTTGAGATATTTTCTTGAGGACATTTCCAAATGTAATTGCTATACAGCTTGTGAGCTTGCTCACATGGAGCTTTAATTTCAATTCACAATGAAGTTTTAGGTAGAAGATAACTTTGACCTCTTGGTACAATTAATCCTTGGAGTAACAGTAATGATTTTTGGTGTTTAAAGTCATCTTTGGTTGCTAAAATGGGCTTGCTCAACTAGTTAGAGAGAGCTTATAAGAAGAAAGGATGGTTGGTTATTTTCATATTAGCAGCAGCAAGTTTGATGATTTAATTTTCTTTTTAATATTTGGCACGTGAATGATAATTTGGGCCAAAATTATATGTTTCAAATTCGGATGCCCTTCCTGACACTAAAATTAAAGGTGTAAGACGTGTTATTATAAATGATGTAAATATACAGTTATTTAATCATGAATTCAATTATTATCCCTTAAACGTGCAAGAATTCCGTGCTAATCAGCATGGAATTTTTTAAAAAATGTAGACCCCTACTAGACAAAAAAATTACTAATTGACCACCGATTTTTTTTTGATTTTTCGATGAAGTTTGCATATTAATATGTTGTGCGTGAAAATCAAATTAAATTTTGGGGTGGGTGTTTGAATACAAAATTCTGATTGGCTAATTTGAATTTCACGCGCGTGAATTTCAAATTGACGCAGATTCCAAATTCACGCACAACACATACAAATATTCGATTTTGATTTTTTTTTTTTTTGGATGTTTTATTGGTATCAAAGTAAGCGTATTTTCAAAATTTCCAAAAATTAAAAATTTTATTAAGTCGTGTGTGTTTGATTACATTCTTTACAGTAATAAAGTTATCACACTGTTCCAGGAAAATGTCTATTTTTTGTGAATATTAAGAGCTATGATGATTTTGATAGTAAGAAACTTTTACCGGTTCCTGCAGAACCAGTAAAAAATACATTCTCATGTTTATTGACCACTATGTCATGTTGTTTTTCCGATAGTTTTACGCCTGATGGGTTATTGTATTAACAATCTTTTGACTGTTCACATTATAAGAAGAAAAAGAACATGAATAATGACAGGTATTATTATTGGTTAACTAGAGTGACGATAACCACCATTCTTTTGATAAACATTTACTTGTGACAGCACCAGTATTATTTTCTTTTTTTCTTCTTTTTGCTGATTGGAGTCGCTGTTTAATTTCTTCTAATTCTTTTTGCAGAAGTTTCTCATTCAATATAGCAAAAATTTCTTTCTTTCTTGTTCTAAAAAATAAACCTTACTACTTAATCTTTCTGCTTTTTTAATAAGGGCAAATCAACTTGTTCCCTTTTCTCTCATGATTTTTTTTTTATTTTTTTAAAAAACAAACAAACGCGTACATGCTAATTATTTATTTATTATATATAATATTAATATGTATTTGTTGTACAACCCTATTACTATTATTTTTTTTGGAAAAATAATCTTATTTTTTGACAGATGACAAAACGTGAGTATTGTTGTTTGGTATGATACGGTATGTATGGTTTGGTTCCAAGGCTGGGGGTGGCAGGAATTACAGAGTGTTTACCAACTCTAAGAATTAATTATTATTT